GATTAAAAGTGCATGGTGTGATGGTAATTCGACAATATCATAAGAACCTCCCTTTTTCGCATGATGGGTTGATGACTGATCTCCAGACGTGCTTCACTTATATCCGATTCCGGTCTTTTATCTAGACCGGACGCCGCTGGGCTGATGTTTCGCGTAAAGGTCGTCGGGGATGGAGCTGAAAGACATGGGAGTCCCGGACCTGGACGACAAGCCTCTTCTTCGTCAAAATTAGACTTTCCAACATTTCGGGACAGGGGAAAAGAGACAAGGGATGGAAGATGGATGTCATGGCTCGTAATAAGCGCTGCCGCTTGACGCTGCTTGACGCTTGACGCTTGACGCTTGACGTCCGTCGCCGATGCACATTTGGAGCATCCACACGTCGAGATGACAAGCCCCGAATTGCATCGATGGTATCAAGTCAAAAGAGGACCGGAAGCGCACCGGAAGCAGAAGCCGCTTTAATCGAAGGGTTGGGGGAAGAAAAGGTGCCTGAAAGAAGAAATGGAAACATTCCATGGCATGAAATTGAGCATCGAGACACAAACGGTTTGTCTCCAATGTCCAATGTCTTGCTTTGGGTGTTGTTGAAACTTTCCGTTCTCGCTCACCCAGGTCTGGGATGCCTGGCTGCGGTGACAACAGCCAATTTCCCTGCCGACGTCATTCTTCTCAACTTCCCAGGCCCGGTCCCAGCTCCCTGATCCGGAGCATCCATGCGGTGGAGGCTTACCGGTACCGTGCGCGGCTCTTTCTGAGGTGCTTTCAACCAATCAGTGTTGAGGATGACAGTTTTGATTCCGTTTTTGTGATGGGAAGCTTGGCGGACATGGGCAAGCAGGTCGAGAACTTTGAATCCATTGCAGCAGTTCTCACCACCACCATCAGCGACAATCCTCCCGCGCTGACCCCCATCATCAAATTTGACGAAATGTGAGTTTTGGATATCGGTCAGATTCTGCCAAAAAATACGCATCCGATTTTGATATCTTGGGCTGAGATGGTGGTGTAGTGTTCATCAATATCAACACAGCGCCTGCGAGCAAATTCTAGAACGGATGAAGTGATAAACGCCTGAAAGGCAATGATGGCGCCATGGTAGCACAGCATCGCAGCCTGTTTCTCACCGGGTGTCTGACTTGCTTCATACTCACAAAAACCTCGAACCCGACCGTTGAGAGATTATCGCAAACAGTTCAATCTAGGGTTTGAATGTCTCAGATCTCACGTCGACTTTCTCAGCGCAAGGTCCAAGGTCTATGCCTGAATCTCACTTCCGTCCTCAAAAGTCCTACGCGTGCAGTCACGGTCCCACGTCGGTCATCGCGAAGGAAACTCGGCAAGAAAGTCGATTAACAATGAAGTCGATGAGAAACCCGAAACTGAGAAAGTCTTTGTCGCCGCGGGAGAAACAATAGTTCGTGATTAAAACACGCGTGTCGCCTCGGGAACTCTTGTTGAGCGGGAGATCGACTCATCTCCGTCGCATTTTCTAGAAGGATGGCTGAGCAACGGGGACCTGAGGCGATCGAAGGGATAACCACACCCGAACTTGACAGTGATAAGATTCGATCAGAAAGACAGACAAGACAGCTTCGATGAAAGCGTGGTTGCCGACCATGGAAGGGTTTTATTCCTTTTTCTGCGCATTCCTGGCATTCCACAGCCCGGGCGGGCCATCACATCACATCACAGCAAAAGAACCAAAAAAAAAAAGAGGGAGGGAGGGAGCTGGAAGAGATTCACAGCCACCTCGACCACGGCGCCGGCTCCGGAGCAAAAATCGGAGGTGTCTTGAGGGTTAATCACCCGATAAAAACGTTAAACCTTCCACCACCAGGGCACACAGAACCTGAGACCCTACCCGAACCGTGGATGGTGAGAAAAAAGTTGGAGGGTGGGAGACACAAGAACCAAGACATGTCAACAGTGACAAGCCAACTGATGAAAAAACGGAGTCTTACACACGCCCTGTCAACCGTTTTCATATTGACACGGAGTACTCGTCCAAAGTACCCAACCACCAAAGAGTCGAGAGAGAACTGAAGGCGAGTTTCTGGCCCCAAGTCGCATCGTCCAATTGAATTCTCCACCCGTTATGGCCCCACTCCCGTCCGGTGCTAAACCCGATGTGGGTACAAGCGAGGCCATGCAGCCAAGAAATACTGAGCAGGAGCAGTTGCAAGGTACATTGGTGAGGTACACAGGTACCTGTACGAAGCTACATGCCTGAGGTGCGTAAAAAAGTGCCAATGACATGACCGTTAGCAGTTGCATGCCATGTTGCTTGTCTTGGTTCGCTAGTACAAAGTTCTTTTCAACATAACGGACGTTTTTCTCTCCCTTGGACTGAGCTCTCAGGCTGCTTCCTGGGATTCGCGTTCCTCACCTTCCCGACGCGTCATGCCCAATTCCTACAGGACAGGACAGAACAGAAAGCAGCTGTGCATAGCAACTGAGAAGAGCGTTGCTGCCCATCGGGAGGAAGCACAGCAGAAATGTGGAAATGGCAAGAGATGCACTTTTCAACTCCAACTGGACGGATCTTGAGGAAGACGGAGCCAAGGTAGAGGTACCCAGCGAACCTACAACTACACTACTGTCCCAATGGCCCCATTTCGTTGCTGTTCTTGTCTCCGTCGACGGTCACTGTCCATTGGTCTCATACGGACTGCGGTTACTGGACTAGAACCGTGTCTGACTGTACAGGGACATGGGAACATCCAAGGACGGCGGTAGCTTTTTTCAGTTCCAGAGACAGGCCATTGTCGAGAACCAAGACACACGCCCTCCTCACTGGAACTCACCCCCCTCCCCCCCCCTCCCCCCTGGTCCGTCCTGGCCCTGGCCCTGGTCCCGGTCCCGTCGTCCAACCGTTCTCCTCCCAAGGAACGGACACAGACGAAAGAGTCGCATTCCTTGGAGTGAGGAACGGACACAGACGAAGAGACAGTCGAAAAGTGACGGGGGCCCATGATTCAAAACCAGCAGCCGCTCCGCTTCCTCTAGCACCAAAGTGCCTCTCGCTTTCCTTCTCTTTTGTCTTGTAAACCAACACCTCTGTTGTGTTTACTTTTTTTTTCTTGACTTTCAAAAAAGGACCTTTATCTGGTTCCTTCCTTCCCCTATCCATTTCTCCTCCTCCCGTCCCCGAGGTTGGCCATTGACGAACAAGAAAGGAAGCATCCGACACTTAGCTTCAAGGAAGATACATTTGGGACACCCCGTTGGACATTCCATCGACTCCCCCTCATCGGCATCATCAGCATTCAGTGGAAGGATCATTGCATTGTTGTTTCGTGGTGTACTAGTACGGAAACAACAGAGAAAGAGAAAGAGCTTGGAATAGGAGCGACAAGTGAGAACAACGAGAAGGGCGAATAAGCGATATCGAAATCGACATACCCCCCTCCGCGACCCCCCGACAGGACACCGACCTCTTCACCGCCTACCATCTTCGGTCCCCGGACTACGGCAGCTTTTTAGTGTCGTTCCCGTCTCGGTCGCCATCCGTCCCGTCAAATCAATCAATCAATCAATCCATCCTCATCCTCCTTTGTCCGCCGTCATCCGCCATCCGCCGGTTCCGATCGACTGATAACCACCGTCTCCATCGATCATCGACGACGACATTCGACCCTCTGGTAGACCGAGTGCGATTTCGAAAAAAGAGACATTTTTGCAAAAAGTCAATCACAAACCTCGTTGCTGGAATATTGCCGTGGTTTGTTATTTTCTCTTTGCATTCTTGTCTTCTTTGATCATCCCCAAACCGGTCTCTCCATATCCCGTTGTCAATACGACGGCTTACCGCCAAGGCGTGCGGCTGTATCAAGTAAGTGGGCACATCTTTCACAGAAATGGAACATGGAACGGAGGAAAAAACAAGTGGGCGGGTGCGACCGCTCTCAGTTCAGCAAATCAGGAACAACTTCAGTTTTCTCTCTTGCCCCTTCTGCACCAATCGCTTCCACTTACCCTGCTCTGCCACTGCACTTGCACCCGATTGTCCACCCCAACAGCACCACTGGCACCACTGGCACTCTGAGAGAGGAACTTTTTTACTGCACCGCATTGCCCCAAATGCATGGACCACTTGGGACAAAAAAGCAGCCAACCACCACAGCACAACACACCCACGCCTACGCCGCTTCGCCTATCCCCGTCTTGGGCAGACACTTTTTGATCCTTCCACTTCGGATGGATTTGCCACTGCACCAAGACAAGCGACGGGCTCCACTCCGTTATCTCTTCCCGCCCACGGCCACCAGTCCTTCTGGTCGGCCATTGTGTCACAGCCCAGCGGTCTCAGCAACGCCCAGCCCTGTTTGCCCGTGGTGGTGCCCTGTTGCTGGGCTAGCTTGCCTCTAAGACCCCCCCGACACGACCTTTTCGGACCCACCACCCCCTGCAGTTTACAGTAGTGTTCGGGCTGCTCTGCCCTGCCCTGCCTGGATCGTCGTTGCTGGAGTCTCTGGGCAGTTCCAAGATCGGGCAATGATATCGGCCTCTATCAAGACTTCCACTTTCTTCCACTTCCACTTCCTGGTTCATGCCATTCGTCATTGACAAATCATCATCTCTCCACCCTTTCCTTCTTCTCCGCATCCTTCATCCCTTTTTCTTTTCTCTTTTTGCATTTTGAGCGACCATGATACCCTAGATTTCTTACCGAAAAACAATTCACTCGAAATAGACAAGACTGCGCAAAAGGGCAACCGCTAACCAATTCATCTTATCGGCATTGCAGCAACTTCTTTGACACCGCCGTCAACAAAGAAACAACCCCCTCTCCGACACCACCAAACCCGTCGAGGCCGCCTCCCCTCCAACGCAGTAGTACACTCCTCCATGTACTAGGCCCGACACTCGACAACCTCGTCTTCTCTCGCTCTACTCTATCTTTACCACCGACAACGCTCGCTTCTCCCCTCGTCGCGATCGACTCGCACGCCCGCAACGGTACTCCTCCCCACGACCACACACCATCGCGGGAGAGAATGCCTTACACACCACCCTCCCACAGGTCTCCGGCTTCGTCGGCACCCTCCTCACCCACCCAGAGCCGGAGACCTTCTATCCAACAACCACAGAATGGCGGCCTCACCTCCCCAACGTCATCGACCAAGCCCGCACTCCCTCGATCGGCCTCGTATCTTATGAAGCACCGACGAACCCCCTCGGCCCCGGCACCCACACAGCATAACGAGTTGTCCCCGTCGGCGACCGTGGAGGATCTCAAGACTATGGCTCTCAACAGCATCGTGCGCCAGTCGCCCCCGCCATTAACGGGCGAAAGGCCGGGCATGCCCGCCGGCGCCGTCATCTCCCCGCCCGACTCGGCTAGTGAAGACGAGGGTCAGATGGAAATGAAGGACACACAGCGTGGCAGGACAATCGAGAACCTCAAGGAGCTCAAGGACGCCATCAGCCTGATCCCCGTCCACCGCTCGTGCTCGCCCAACAACCGCACCGATATCCCCGAACCCGTCATCGCCGAGAAGAAGGAAAAGACAAAGCCGGATGCGGGAGACCTGCTAGTGCTGCCATCGCAGGCCAAGGCCATTGCCGACATGCAGCAGAAGCAGGACCAAGCCAACGGAGTCAACCGCCGATTCTCCGGACACACCCGATCCGCCACCGAGTCTCACATCGTGCTGAGCAAGTCTATGGGAAGCTCGCTGACAGGATCTGAAGAGGACACTGACGAAGAGCGGCAGAGAAAGCCCCCCATGGTGCGCAAGAAGTCGGGTGAGCTGGTGCGGCCTGCTCTGCGACCTCCATCTCGCCGACGACCTTCCAGTATGCCTGGTACGCCCACCTTCAAGGCTGTCCACTTTGACTCGCATCTCGAACACGTTCGCCATTTCTTGCAGGTCGACCGCCCGTTGGCCGTTAGTGCTGGCTCATCGCCGGTCGATAACTACGATAGCGATACTGAGTACCCTTTCAACGAGAACGACCAGTCACAAGGGCGTCAGCCTCCCTTCGAGTGGGAGCTCGTCCTGTCCAACTTCCCCGCCGATACCCCCGCTCGCAGGGCGCAGCCTGTCCGCCTGGAACGTGTTTGGCTATCTAGCGACCAGAAGTGCTTGATAGGGTCGGTGGCAGTGGTCAACCTGGCGTTCCAAAAGAGTGTTACTTGCAGGTTTACTTTGGACTACTGGAAGACCACCTCCGAGGTCTCGGCTGAGTACATGAGCGAGATCGTGCCCCCGGATTCGCCCCTCGGACAGGACCGCTTCAACTTTACCATCAAGCTCTCCGACATGGCCAACCTCGAGTCCAAGACGCTGTACTTCTGCATCAGGTACAACGTCAACGGCCAGGAGTACTGGGACAGCAACAACGGCATGAACTTCCAGATTGATTTCCGCAAGAAGGCTCTCCCCGCAAACGGCAAGAAGGGTGCTATCGGCGCTGCTTCTCGTCCTGTTAACGGCCTGCCCAAGAGCAACCGTCGCTCTAACCAGTCGTCGGAGGTGCCAAAGCCCAAGTTCGCTCCTATCGGCTCGGATGACTTTGGTGGCAGGAGTAAGAAGCTCAGCTTTGAGGACGATGACTACATTGGTGACTCGCTTCCCGCTGGTCTTCGCCTGCGTGGTGTCAAGAGCACCACCAGCATTCCCAGCGATAACCTGCCGAGCCGTCTGTCTGCCCCTAGCGGCCAGGCCTTTGCCAACCGCTACGACTTTGGTGCCTCGCTTGCCACGGCCATCCAGACCGCCAAGGATAACCTGCCCAAGAAGGATGATGGTCTCTACATGAAGTCCTCCAGGAAGCCTGCTGCTGCGAAGTCAGCTGCTGCGAACTCTTCTATCCAGCGCAGGTCTCATCCTACCCTGACTACTCGTGTTGCTCCCGCTCCCGCTCCCGCTCCCGCTGCTGCCCCTAAGAAGGCTCCAGCGCCAACTCCTGCTCCTGCGACTACCACCCCTGCTCCCGCTACCACCTCAGCAAAGCCTTCTCTCAGCATTCCTGGTGTGTCCACCACCGGCAGTATTGCTTCGTCCTCGTATGAGGAGCTCGTCAACAAGTACTGCTTCGTAAGTTGTCCTTCCCCTGGGTATCTGGTTGATAGCATTTGACAAGCCTCAAGGCCCCCCACATCTCACGGTAACGATCATTAACAAAATATTCATTACAACAGTTTGGATCCACCAAGCAGTCCACCCCTCAGATCAATGATGGTAGCTTGCGCAACGGTCGTTTCGATAGTGCCAGTGACCTTCCCCAGCTTGCTAGCACCGGCAGCAGCAACAACTCGAGCTACGAGGGAAGCCCGGTCCACAACAACTTTTACGGTATGGGGTCCACGGCTCAGCATCACTCGCTGCACCCCAAGGATCCCAACCCTTATTTCTCTCATGGAAGTTTCATGAGCTTTGGTGGGGGTTCTCCAGCTGAGAGTCCCCTGAAGATGGGCTTCCAGTCTCAGCAAAACTCTGATAACCCCTCGAACAATGGGTCACGCACTGGCCCTGGCACTAAAAGTCTCGGATCTGGCTACGGAACCGGACCCAGCTACGGATCGAACTCTACTGGTACGTCGTCGAACGAGTACCCATATCACCACAGCACTATGCCTTATGCCGATCGTTTCCCGTTCTACACAAACAACTATAACTATGGTGGCACGGAAGCTCATGCTGCGACAGCTATTAGGGGGTAGATGAGTTCCATCTTTTTTCTCATCTCATCTGTCTTGGGGGGTCTATCAACTATCCATGGATCCCAACAACAAAACGGCCCGTTTCTGTATATGAATCTCACACTTTCAACCTGTGGGATACAAACACTCTCGACATACCATCACCGGCCTCGACATAAACTTTCTACTCTTCCGGTCTCCTACTCATTGGTCCTTTTTCGGCATTTGCTTTTTTTTTTCGGTTTGAAAGCATCCACTAGTTTGGCGTTTGGGTGGTTTCTTTTTCCTACTTCTCCTTTCAACACCATGATGATCACGAGTTCAAACTTCGTGTACGATTAAGGGAAACTGGCGGATCACCGGCACGGACAGGTTTCCTGGTTTTCCTGGATTGGAGAGTTTTTGGTGGTCGGGTTTCCTTATTTCTTTTAAGGGGTTGGATGGCCTGCAAACTCACTCGCTGGCAGTCAACATTGGTGATCCTCTTCAGGTCAAGGAGGGTCAGGGAGCGGTTTATTCCTTCGGTCATCACATCACTTCCACAGCCTCACCTCCTCTCTATCACACACTCCGACAAGCATGTCAACCTGGCCTTCGCTCACTTTTCGCGATAGCCGATGGAACCTTCAAGCACCTTCAAGCAACTGTTTTGTCACTGGGTCTCTTTTCCTAGTTCGTCGCGGTAGCTCTTCCGGCTGCCCGACTCGGTCGTCGAGCTCTCCTCCTTCTGGAAGTTAGGGAGCAAGACGATGGATGAAATGGTTCTTGGAATGGTGATGATGTATTCTGTCACCGAGTGGCTGTTATTAGTACTCGGTTAGGGTTGGTTGTATTTGTCGCAGTTGTGCAGTCAGTCGGTCGTCAACAGCAAAGGTCCCAAAGCATTGCGTCAACAGTTGCTTCACATGGCATCAGTCCGCTCGGTCGAACCCTATCCTGGGCGCGAGACTTTTGTTCTGTGGGTAGCTTGCAATGTTGGTTGAGCTTATGCTACACGACATGACTCCGACAACCTGTGCACACACACACACAAAGAGGCAGTGGGTTTGGATTGCGAGTGACTAAGGGTGATGAACAACTGGACTGAACACTGGACTTGAAGGGAACAGCACAATGGCAGATGGCAGAGCTTGGGAGTCGAGTAGAGCCTCTTGGGGTGGACCAGTCATCGCGAGTTTTGAGGTCGGCGGTGGGGCTTGTTTGGTAGTTTGTTTTGTTTGATATCTTTATTATGGCTGGTTGGCTGGCTCACGAGGTTGCAAAGGTTAGGTTAGGGGTCAGGAAAAAAACGGGTATGATTGATAAATTTGATGAATTGCACACAATCACGAATTGCACACAACACGCGCGCACGAGCACGGTACCAAAAGTACAAAGTGAAAAACAGGCAAGAGATGTTATGAATGTTGTTATATGAATATGCTTTGGTGAAGGCCCTCATCTCCCCACAACAGTACAATGCCACCAGCTTTAAGCCTCAGCCATCAATTTATTTCTTCGCGTTAGTTAAGAAAATAATAAGAAGGATGTTCAAACGAAACAAAACCATAAAAGTCAAAGACGCATTCATCACGATAGTGAAAGAGATGTCAAGAAGATGCAGCAAAAAAAAAGCAAAAAGAAACATGCAACAAAACATACAACACCAGGGATTCGCTGGTCGTCACCGACCCAACTACTAGTCTGGCCCTCACTGGCTTATCTATGGGAGAGCGGACGGGATCCCGAGTTTTCCAGTGGGTATGGTCGTATGTGATTGTGTATGGTAGAGAAAGAGTTTATCAAGGCTGCTGTCACTCTGAGATTGGGAATTGTCTAGGTAGTCGTCAACAGTCAACCAACTCAGTCCCGTCCAAGCAAACTCCCTTCCTCAACTCTACAGACAAGTACCAAAAGGCGGGAACTTCATCGTTCCGCATTTGTACGGTCCTCCACACCATTTATCCCATCCAACTTGACCCTGCTTGAAGCAAACGTAGAGAGAATCATAGATATGTGAGGGGTCAGTTGGCTGCTTGTAGCTTTGGAGGATGGCGATGAGGTCTTGTTCGGTTGTACCTAGGTAGGTAAAGACCAAAAGAATCGAGGTCAGCATCAATGGGTCCGATCTGTAGTTGACTGCCCGGGTTTTTAAGGCATCAAAGACATAGGACTGGACAGGACGGGACGAAAACGACCAGACAGACTCCCACATACCACTTTTGATAAGATCCCAACCACAGACGCTGTAGCTGTAAGGACAACCCTTGATTTCGGCATGAACAAGCTCAGCGGTCGACAAGAGGATGGCCGCTGCGCTAGCCAGAAGGGTTGCGAAGCGGAGCATGACCATGTTTTGGTGATTTGCGTTGGTTCAAGATTGCAGCGGATACAATGGGTGCGCTTCTTAAATTTTGTAAGATTGTGTTGACGACTCAACGTGTGTCGACTGTCGAGGGACCAATCTCAATGATCGTATCGTGATTTTGACCGGTCGGGTCTGAGAGGATGGGAGGAAAGTTCCCGGGGGGGGGGGGGGGGGGTGGTCTGGAGCATCTTGATACTCGTTCGATATGTCACGCCAGTAAGGCGAGCTCTCAAGAAAGAAGTGAATGTGATAACACGTCGAATACATGGAATGTCTTGGTTCAATGTTCACCCGGACATTGGACTGTTGGAGCTCGATAGAGGCTGAAACATTGTTCAACACATCTCCATATGGAAAATAAACACCGGCCTCTGTCTGTCCGAGAATGGCAATGGCGCTATCTCCGTCGATGACCCAACAAAGAAACTAAGCAGGACAGGGAAAGGGGAGTAAAAACCCCAGACGAAATACAAGTAGGTTCATCCATCCGATAAACAACCAGTAGAATACCCAAACTCGTCATGAATGGCTCCGCACGTATTTGGTCCTCCACACCATTTATCGAACACCGTCACCCATACAGCTATGCCATCGTAAACCACTTCGCAGGCGAAAGTCGAATCGTACATGTGTGTTGGGTCTGTTGGTTGATTGGCTCTCACGAGGGCATCGCGTATGTCTTCCTCGCTTGCTGATCCTGTGGTGGAAGGAAGCACTTGGGTTAGCACTACATAGGCGTTGCAGAAGATAAGATACTTAATACGGAAGCATTGCAAGACTTACCGCCACGTATAAGACTCCAACCACAGTCAACTTTCATGTTTTGACACTCGGCATGAACAAGCCCAGCGGTTGACAAGAGGATGGCTGCGCCAGCCAGGAGGGTTGTAAAGCGGGTCATGATGCCGAACGGGATGGGAACCAAGCTTGGTGGTCCGAAAGAGAAAGAGATATCTGGCTGAGTCAACATGGAGGAAGCATCGCTTAAACTGGTTGAGGCGTTGGCGTTTATAGGTGAATACGAAGCTCAGGATCGGAGTACTTCTGGATGGAGATGTTGACTTGACGTTGTGTTGAACTCGGATCCAGTCTTAGGATGAACCCATGTCTATCTTATGAACCGCTTACAAAGGACAATGGCCGGGTTGTCTCATATCGTTCCATTGCACGAGGTACCTCGGCATTGAGAAGACGTAGACAATGAACTCGACGCTGGATCGAGAGAACTATACATTATCTACAGATTAACATCTCTATGTACTCATTGCTAGGTAACATCATTACTCCCTTTCCCAAGATCATTATCAATAGCTGGTATCCAAAGTCAAACCGCCCTCCCAATCCTTTCCAAGTCATTAGTTGCGTAGAGGTATTCCATGTGATCTCATCAGAACAACCACCTCTCCTCGCCCATCGGGCCATACTCAACGTTAAACCTCACCCTCACCCTACCCGGCCTGACTCTCCCCGTCGCCTTCTTTGCCTCCTTCCCTAATACCCCCTTCCATATCCCCTTCACTTTCTTCCCCTCCTGCGCTACCTTGTCCCCGTCTATTATTCCCTTTTCACCACCATCCTCCTTCTCCCCATCCTTACTTCCCTCCCTATCCTTACCCTCCTTATCCCCCTTTGCCCTGTTTTCCCACGGCGCCTCCCCAACCCCATCATCCAACCAACACCCCAAATCCACACACCAAACCCCCGCCTCCCTATTATGTCTAACCTCCTGCCTCGACACTCTCCCGCCATCCTTCGGTATCCACAACCTCGGCGCCGGCTTCCACATTTCCGGCGGGTAATACCCCCTCTTATTCTCGTACCCCCTCGGCAAGTTCCAGTCATCCGGCCCGGGTCCGTTCCCGACTTTTTTTGCGAGGGTCCGGAAATCCGCGTAGACGGAAGGGTGAAGCCAGCGCTGGATAAGATTTGGGTTTTGGATGGACGGATCCGGGGTGAGGAAGCGGTGGATTTGATACAGGAAGCGGGTTAGGGGAGAAAGGCGGCCTGGTGGGCCCGTGCCGTTGGCGGAGGCTTTGAGGGTTGATAGTTGGGATTTTAGGGTCGTTTTGGCGAGTTGCGTCAGGGAGTGGCGGATGGAGGAGGACCCTTCGAGACCGCGCATGCGGCTGTCGGGGCCGTCAAGGTCGTCGTCGTAGAGGCCGGGGGGTTCGGGGTCGTCTGTGGAGGGGTCGGAGTAGTCGAAGGAGGTGGAGGCGTAGTAGTCTGCTGCGGAGCCGCCGATGACTTCGGCGGGGATGCCTGGGGTTGACATGGAGGTGTCGTTGTAGTAGTCGGCTGCTAGACCGCCGGGCCCGGGGGTGGGTTGGGAGGGGATGATGTGGTCGTCGCCGTCGCCGTCTTCGGCGATTTGGCCGTGTTGTTTTTCCAAGGCGAGGGTTTGAGGTAAGCTGGCGAGGAGAGGGGAAAGAGCTGAGCTGAGGGAGTAGTGCGTGATGGCGCAGAAGCCGAAGAAGAGGATCATGAGGAGCATAGGGCCGAAGGCTTTCTTGAGCGCAAACAGGCCGATGAGACAGATCTCGGCGATGTAGAGTCCGACCATAAGATGTAGCAGCGCCCTTGGGTAGAGCAGCCCCTTCGTATCCAGCTGCGAGTCGTCATGGATGTAGATGAGGCTATACCGGTAAACCACGCCGACGAACAGCATCCCAAACCCAGCAAACACCAGAATCAACGGGCTGATGCACGAATACGCCAGCGCGATAACCCCCATGTTCGTAAACCGCGGATAAACAGCTCCCCAATGAATCGGTGTCAACTTCCTCCATCTGTGATACGCCTTCCTGGGATCAACCGCGAACTTGCTCGCCACATCATGTCGGAACAAATCGCCCACATTCGCCAGCTTGCCTGCGCCCGCACCAAGACACTGCACCAAGATGTACGACAAGTAAAAGTTGCTAGCCTTGGGCAGATTCTGCGCCAGCAGATCCGGCGCCGACAGTGGTTTCTTAATAACATCAATGATCGCCGCCGACGCCGCGGACGTGATGGTCGTTATCAAGAACACCTGAATCACCTGAAAAGCAAAGTACGCGCTCTGGCAATACAGTTCGACCAGCGCATGCGACGGACAGCCCGCTATCCTAGCGCAGACTCTCAGTCCAGCGGGTACAATAGCCATCAACATACTCAGCGCCAGAGCGGGTAACAAGCCCTTGATGACGCCCAGAATGACCTTGGGCAACAAGGGGATCCAAAACAGAAAGGGCACCTTTTCGGACAAAAAGTCGATGTTGCTGACGATGCCGACGGCGGCGGCGGGGATGGACCAGAAGATGATGGCGACCACGACGAGAGCGAGCATGAGGAACTGACGCATGATTCGCTCCCACCAGCGGATTCTGAGGGAAGACCAGATGACTTGTTCTGGTCGGACGCCGATGTAGCGCGGGGACATGTGCATCGGTTGGTGGTGAGCTAAAATCTGGTAGGCGGCTTCGGCGGAGGCTTGCGAGTCGAATTCGATGAAGGCGGATGAAAGGGGTTGGCCGTCTCCCGAACGGAATTTCCGGCGGAGTTTCCAGATGTCGCGGTTGAGGACTTTCAGGCGGGCCCGTGTCCAGCGGATGGTGTCGACGCGCCGGCCGAAGTTGTGCAGAGGTCGATGATGGGGGCGGTCGTCGGCGCGGAGGAAGATGGCGGCGACAGAGCCGCGGACATCCGGGAGGGAAGCGGGGTAGCCGTAGGGGTGTTGATATTCGGGGCCGAGGTCGTCGTCTTCGGACTTTTTGGGGGCGCCGGGGTCTTCGCCGGGTAGGGCTGGGGTTTCGGTCTCGTCAACGGGAATGGGAGGCGCTTCCGTTCGTCGTTCGGACATGCGGATTCGGACTGGGTCAGTTTTGATCCCCTTTTCCAGATTGCCATCTTGTGTCGATTCGTTTGAGTCGGGTAAGGAGAAGGATGATGTCTTCGAAGATTGGGGGTTGTCGGTTCTGAGTTCGTCCGCGAATGGTGGCGCGCCCTTTTCTTCCTTGATGTTCTTCATCCGGACTGTATTTGCCTTCTTGATGAGTTCGATCTCCGCCTTTTCCAACCGTTCCGCCACGTCGTCTCTGTCCTCCACTAGGCCACGGAGGTAGTTGGTGTTCTTCGGGATCCAGATGTTCTTCACTGAGTCGCCGAACAGCTTTCGTAGCTTTGCCTCGTCCAGATATGGCTTCGGGATAGACGTAAACAGGACCGTCCTAGCCGATAATCGTTTGCTCATGTTCGGCGACAGCAGGTATGCCTGGCGTAAGTTGATGTAGTAGATGCATTCTCGGCAGACCATGAACAGCACAAAACCTGTGAACAATCATAAGCCAACAGTCCAACACACGGCGACAGGAGAGGGACGACAACAAGAACTAACCAAAAAACAACCAAGCCACCACCACATGCGCATAGTATTTGCTTGGAAGCTTGATATTGCCCATCGTTAACTTATCCAACTGCCTCTGCACATTCCCTCCCGTCGCATTGATGGGCAGCAAGATCGGCCACGAAATAGCCAACCCAGCAAAGCAAATAACCGACAAGATCCTCAAGAACCTGAGGAACAAATATCCGTCCAAGGAGCAATTATTGAGGATATAATCATCATCAATCTGCCAAAACGGCTTAACCCAGTCAATCCACCCATTGGGCAGCTTCGGAGCCGGATGCCTGCATCACACAAGATCTCGTTAGCCAGGCACAATGCAATCATTTGCAATCTGCCGAGTCGCACGGGTCGTTGCACACGGTCGGCACTTATGACATGACATAAAAGACATACTCTGGCTCGCGCAGTTGTGCAATGGTCCTAGGCGCATAAGTTCTCGTACTCGTCCTCCGACACGTGAAGAAGATGAGCAAACAAATGACCGCGTAGACGAGGACAGGCACAAAGGTGCTACCGAGGGCGCTCAATGACGCTGGGTCCTTGTTGTTGCCGCCGGAATGGGAGAGGGTGCCGCCGGATGAGCCATCGCGGGCGGAGCCGACTCTGCTGTCATCGCTTTCGTTCTGTTGTGGTGGTGAGCGAGGTGTTTGGGTTAGTGATATTTGTTGACCGGGAAGTGAGTTGTTTGTCAGGTGAAGATGAGATGAGATGAACAGGTGGGAAAGGGGAACAATGGAAGCGGGGACGAAAGACGGAGCGGGAGCCGGGAGCGGCCCGGGCGGCGTCGACAATCGGGATGAACGGGCGGGAAAGACAGCAAACGAAAAGACGAAAGACAATCGGACCTACTATGGTTAACTTGACGCTGTTCCTGTTCCATTCTTCCGCTGCCCTTTTCCACAAGTGGGTGTGGAACTCTGACAACCACTCCATCGTGGGTTGTGGTTGTCTGTCTGGTTGCGTGTTTTCTTAAGAGCTAGAGACCCAGACCCAGCAGACACAACTGACTGGTGAAGGCGCACTTTGCTCAGGTCATGTTATGAATGCCACTCAGGCACCGCGCGCAACACAGGAAACAGCAGCTGATGGGATGATGTGCAGATGGACCGAGACAAACTCGAACTAATGCCAGGAACAAACTCCGCGACTGGGGAAGTAGAATTGCAGGCGGGCGGGCGAGCGGGAGCTGTGGAGGGAAAAAGGAAATGGATGACGGGAGAGAAAACAAGCCAGCCGCTCTGGAGCCCTCTGAATCGCGAGCCCTAGGATCTTGGCGGTGATGGTCCGCCACCGGGGTCACCCAGGTTTCTGAACGACCCTGAGGCCAGTGAGGGAGGGGCCTGGCCAGAGGAGGCTTTTCGGGCTTTTGGGGTGTTTGTCCAATCACAAAACATCGTGGGATGATCAGCAAGGAAAGAAAAAGACCGGTTGTCAGACGGGAGTTACCTTACCCGAAGTCGTACAGGAGGCCGCTGACTGAGATCCCTTTCAAATTGCTTCCTGGATCAAAGGACCCTTTACCTCACAACCCCAATAATACTCGGATCCCTATACCACCAAGAACACTCAACATCTCGTACCTCCCACCAATGTTTTTATCACTCTCCTCCCCCGATTTCACTAAGCCGCCCCTGGTGATGTTGTGACGAAAGTGGACACTTTCAAGATCTACGCAACTTCCACACGCTATCCGCCGATCAGGAATAGCGCATCTCTTACAGACCCATAGGATTGGACAGGTGCGGGAGCGCGAGACCTGATAGGGTAGTATCGCTTCTTGTCCCCCAAGCCCCCTTGAATTCCCCCAACCTCCAGTGGGACAGCCCCGGGCTTTCTTCTCCGGGCTTTTCTTCTTCTCTTCCCCCGACTGGAGGCGTTGGTGCGGGAGGGAAAGAAACCGCCCCACGATGTCATCTTGCGCTATGGCGAGCCATTCAGTGAGGGCCATCTATCATAGTAAGACATTTTGCGTTCGTGGGGTTGTAGGCGATTGTGATGACTGGTCCGGAGGCTTCAGAGGATGGAGATTGGGGATTTCCCCGTGTCGCAAGAGATCGGTCTCATTTCTTGCAGTTGTGAGACTTGCAGCAGTGGTGATGCGGAGATGATGCCTGTAATCTCGAGCGCATCACCGTCTGTCCGCGTCTGGTCGCCCTGAAAGTCTGGTCTTCACGACTCCACTTGATCCCTTTCCCTCCGGAACCTGCACCCGTTGTTCCATGTATCCACACATCGGATGAGTGGGCGATCAACAGCCCGAGACAGATACAGGGCAGTCATGGGTCCAGTTCGAGGGTTTGTGGTCAGGTTTCCCTAATCATGATACTGGAATCGAACCCCGAACTTTCATGCTTGCCCATCTTCTTTACATGGTAGAACTTGGAGACGATGATGCAACAGACTGGATTGTAATCATAACGATGCACGACCACCTTCTCCTGAGGAAAAGAAAAGCAACGAGAACTCCGGGATAGCGAGGGCTCCACAATGGCCCCTTTTCTCCCGCAGTCGAATCATGAAGATCAAAAACGCAAGTGCAAAACTTGGAAGCACGGAAAGGAAAAAAAAGCATCCAATTCTGGTATGTAGATCGGTATCTTGCTCCGCGTTGCTGGTAACCAATGGTCAGCTTTTGCCCGGAATCGCTTTCAAAAGGGTGACACACCTTGGAAAGCCGACGACTCGCAAGCTCGACTTGCCCAGCCAGGAGAACGAAACCTTGAGCCAATGCCCAAGCCATCACGCCCCCACCAAAGAAACCTTGGCCTACCATTACTTCCTCCTTCCTCTCTTCTCACGTCTTCCCCTGCTTAAAAACATGAGGAGACCACTTCGTCGTAGCAACAGGCGGCACCCTCGGCGCCTGCGCCACGCCTGGTCCATACCCCGTCGCAACATTTCCAACGCCCACGCTCCCTCCTTTTGCTCCTCCTTCGAACCCAACCCCGTATCCCCTCTGGGCCTGGCTCTGCCCATAGACACCTCCTTGTCCGTATACACTGTCCTGTCCATAATGTTTTCCCTGCCCATAGCCATATCCCCTCTGAGCCGCTCCCGCTCCTCCAACTCCGGGCCACGCCTCCCCTATCTCGACATCTCTCGGTATCGTCCTAGTGCTCGTACTCCCCGAACTATGACTCGTGCTGCTCGATCCGCTTGAGCTCGTACTCGACGAATCATGATAATAGTAGACCCTTCGCCATCGTCTTTGCCGACTGCTCGCCGCCATACTAGCGTTGCCCCAGGCGCGAAAGCGGATGTAAAAGAAGCAGCAGATGACGAGGAAGATGACGCCGCCGATGGAGCCAAGGATTGCGCCGAGGAGGGCGGTGGAGGAGAGGGGGGCGCTGTCGCGCGGGATAAGCTGGTGGTCTCGAGGGGTCGTGGTGGTGGGGGCGAAATCGAAGGCTGGGGTTTGGTTGGCATTGCGCTTGGTGAGGGATAGGGAGGCTGTCGCTGTGCGGATTGATCGGGAGAGAAATTGGATGATGTGAGGGAGCAGGTTGCTTTCTCGGGTTTCGAGGACAGAGGGCATCTCCATGTTGCCTGGTGTTATTCTTGAGGCTCGTCTCTCTGAAACTTGGGACTGTTGTCGGATCTCAGTCCGAGAAGTGAGACAGGCCGGAGACTATATCAACCAACCCAGCGGATTCCATCAGCTCTACCTACTCCCAAAACCTACTACTGGAAAACTTCCGACTCTGAAACAAAAATGGAAGGCTGGGACTCTAGTCCTCCACCACTCCTATCACCTTCCTACTCAGCGATGCCGGCACTGCGCTGCATGATGTTGACCTACCACACATCATAACCCGCTAACTCTATCAAGGTGAGACAAGGTGTCCCGCATAGGATCATATGGCACTTGCCATATGACTGGAGCAACCAGGTTGAGGGTGTAGGCCCTTTGCAGCCGAACCTGGCAGTTGGAACTCGGGCGGGAAGGGCCCGGAGTGGCGGGAACTATTGTTAGCCCAGCTGTGTGCCCAGGTGTCGAAGGCGGGACAGCTGGGACTGCTAAAGCGTGATATAGCATAGGACCCTCTCGATGTCAAGACGTGGCGGGACGGGACACTTGTAGCTTTGGTAGCTCGGAGGGACCGACTGGATCTGGTGGTCCGAGGCTCAGGAGAAATGATGTGTTGGTAAGGCTCCCTGCTGAGCTTGCACTTGCTGCCTAGAGGTAGGACCCCTCTGCTGCTCTGGCTCGTTGCTCCTGCTCCTGCTGTGTAGCTGTCATCACAGCATACATATCTCGGCCTACACGGTGACTGGTGAACCAAGCACCCAGGACCCCTCTTGATGACGTGCCGCAGCCTGGTATCTTCTCAGTCTTGATATGCTCGATGTGTGCTGTGTGGTGTTGCTGCTGTCGTCGGCCAATGGCGCAAACAACCGCTACACCCTCTCGTCGGGCCACTCCAATGGCGATGGAGGGGGGCTGCATTGGTTCTGCACACAGCTGACGTTGGGGCGGCATCGGAGGAAGCGATCGATGAATGGACTTATCGAGAGATGAAGAGCGATACGGCAGTAACGTAACGACTAATCTTTCTGCAGCGACACTGTTAGCAGATTAACTTGGCCATGTTTGCTGTCGCAACTCGGAAACAACCAGTCCCTCCGCTGAGAGCAACGGGAAGAACACAGGTGAATGCCATGTAAAGTTCAAGAGAAAGGGAGAGCGCGATTGAAAGCACGCGCAAGCCTGGTTTAATCGGATGGAATGCGAAAGACGAGTTGGCACATTGTTTGTTTTGTTTGGAAAGAAGGGAAAAATAGAAACGAGCGAACGGACATCGAAAGACATGGCCAGTGTTGGCCAGTGCGGGCTACCCCGCCAGCCCACTAAGATGCGACATTATCATGACTACCGCATAGTTTCGGGTGCTAGTTGATAGTGTAATAACTGCATCGCCCTTCCAACTTTTGTAAGCCTCCCTAGCAGGACATCATCTGTTCAACAACTTCTGTCCTTCCTCACCTCAACCTCCATTTCGTCATCCCTCCCATTCTCCCTTTTCCCTGTCTCTCATCAAGTCCAACACTTACACTTCCCCGGCTCCTTACACTGCAAATACCCATCATCAGGACACCAAACCTTTGAGCAATCGCACAGCGTCGTCTGGCAGATACACTCGCCATGCGGAAACTTCACATCATCATCCAGCGAGCAGTAAGGCGTCGTGGCATAGGGGACATAGGGGCAGTGCGTCAACACTTGCTTGCAGTCCACTCGCTTGTCTTTTGCGATGGTGGGCGCACAGCCTGCTATGGGGTGGCAGTGGCATTTCCTTCCACATTTCCTTTTTGTCAGCTAACAACCTAGATCCTCTCGCGCGGAACGAGGAAAGGAAAAGGCATCGGAAAAGGGGTAGGGGAAGGGGAACACACCCATCATCATCACACTTGGTCTGACCCCAATCACAAGCCGTATGATCGCAATTACACCCCCCCTCTGGCTTCGTGACGCAGATGCAGACGTTGTTGCGCCAGAAGGGGTCCATTTGTTGGCACATCATGGATTGATCCTTGGGGCAGTGGACGTGGTATTGGTCGCAGTCGGAATCGGCGCGGCAGCCTTCGTGGTGGATGCAGGTGCAGGCTCTGTTGGGCACAGGTAGGTCATCAGTTACTGGGATGGACTGGAAGAAGACGGGAGGAAGGGAAAGAGGGGAGAAAGCGGGAGGGGGTGAGGCATGAGCATACCCGTTCATGCAAACGGTGTTCTTCTCCGGGCATGGAGTATCGTCACAACTGCAGAGAGCTTGTTGCGCTGAGAGTTGCGCAAGAGACAGGGTATGGTTGTTGAAGCCGGTGGAGTTAGAGGCACCGGGCATGGTGGCGCAGGTCGTGGCCAGGCTAAGGATAAGGAGCAAGAAGAAGGAAGCAAAGGCCGTCATCATGGCTAACTGACTGGACAAGTTAAAGTGGGCAGACCGGTTCCTAAGTAAAGGCTCAGTCATGGACGAGGCGAAGACGGCGAGCCAAGGTGCTGAGGATTGCCGTTGGCGGGAGGACAAGATATCAGGACGGAGGTGGAAAGGCGACAACAGAGGAAATCCTCAAACAGATATCCATATTTCTGGCGGTTGGCTCATGTCAACGCTCATGCTGTCGGTTCCGAGATGCCCATTTCTGTACCCTTCCTTCCACTCAAAAGAGGTAGACGGGATACAGTCATGGCAGGAGCAGATACCTTCCATGTCACTGCCACTCATCAACTGTCCAGCCGAGCGTACCTGCCCAATCACCCAGCCGCGGGAACATCTCATCGGAAGACCCTGAACTATGGAACCTGAAGTAGATGATGATGAAACGGTATCAACATCAAATGCTGGGAGGAAATGCTGCTGAAGTACATGTTAACACGGGCGTGTTTAGGAGCTAAAAAAAAGTCTGTTGAAGACAACACGAGACCTCCGACCGGGAGCACATTGTTCCCGACCGGTAGCACATTGTTCATTGCTTCCGAAACCTCGGAGGAGATATTCTGGGTATGAATCATGAACCACGTTGCACTTCCGAAACGATACTGTGAAGACATTGTCCAACAAGAGCCGATACTACGAACACGCTGCTCTACAAGAAAGTTGACTCTGGTACAGGGCCGGCTTGAGGATCAGGGAAAACGCCAATCATCCTGAACTGGACGAGTTGACAGACGGGCCACGGGCCTGGCCCTGCCTCATAATCTCATCCACTCCCCCATTATAAGGACACAGAGTGTACCTACCTCCTTACAATACGAGCTCAAAAAGCCCGATCTAGCTCAGATGGCGCAAGGGTCACTTCGCCCACATCGTCGGCCCAAACAGAGTCTCTATTGCGCCGCTTCGTTGTATCGAAAGCCGAGCGCGACAGGGTCGCTCTTTGTCTGGCACGTCTTGGTACGCGATTTTTTCGCTGTCTGTTCCGTCGGGTATAATGTCAGGATGAACCTCGATCCAAGTCGTCAACAGCGCTGTTTTCCAAAGACTTATTCTCTGCACCAGAGGATTCTATGTTTCGTCGATGGCGGATATAACGACTGGAGCCGAACGTTGTTATTGTCTCACATGCTCACGTCTTCCCATACCAGCATCGCATACCCAACTTTCCAGGCCAAAGCCCCATCCGTGTCTTCCGGCAGCCACGGCACATTCCACATTCCATCACAGCCGTCGTAGTAAATACCACAACAACTCTTCCCGTGTGAAAAGAAATGCCATGGTCTTTCCTCGGAGCCAACGTGTCATAGACAAACAATGCCATTGGTCCTGGCTCTTCGGGCTGCAGGTTGGCCGCTGGAGGGCATTCCCGGCAGGCCATGTTCCTGCATTTGTGCCTTCGATCGCTGTTGAGGCTCTGACATCGGGTGCTTCACGGCGATACCACTCCTGTCGATCTTCTACAGGTGGAATGCTGTCAATGATGATCGTTGTTTTTGTTATGGACGTTGTTGGCAACCGTGCCATGTAATGGGCAGTGAACGCCTTTGGCGTCCAGCTCGTTGACGATGGAGATAAATACCACTCCTTAGGTACCTTCTTTCAAGCACTGTCTCAACATCATCACCATCATCATCATCTTCATCTCTTCACCGGTCAAGTCCACCACAAACCGTAAAGATGAAGTTCTCCACCACCCTCGTCGCGACCTTCGCCTCGCTCTCCGTGGCCGCTCCCGCCCACAAGCGCCAGGTCGATGACACCACCTCCGCCTCCGCCTCCACCGATGCCATCACCGACGTCCTCCCCGGCATCACCGGCGAAGAGCCCGTCGAGGACACTTCTTCGTCCACCACCATCTCTTCTGACGTCTCTGACGCCCTCGCCGCGGCCGACCCCTTCGACATCTACCGCGTCCCCGCCGTGCCTCCCACCTTCCCCATAGAGCAAAACGACTTCACCGGCATCCAGGGTGTCCAGTCCATCCAAGACGACGATGACATGGTCGACGCCGCCATCTCCAACCTGTCCGGCACCAGCGATGCTCCCATCATCCCTTTGATGACCGGTACTCCCACCGTCGATGCCGACGACGCCGACGCACTTTCCGCGCTGGACTTTGCGGATGAGGATGAGGATGAGGATGACATCCCTCCTATCCCTCTGTCCACCGGCACTGCAACCACCAGTCTCGACGGCGACGACGGAGTTTTGACTGTCGATGATGTTGTAGTTGACGATGAGCAAGCGCAGGAGATGATTGATGCCGCTATTCGCTATGCTCAACAACTCCCTGATGTGCCTGTGCCGTTGAGCACCGACACCCCCATTATCTTTATTGACCCGTACCTGGGTGACTTGAACTCCACCATCTTCGGCAACACTTCCACCTCTGCCTCTGCCCTCGACTCCGAGAATGGCACTGCCACCGCGGCTACCACCACCGCCGATGGCACCGACCTCGTCGCGTCCCTCCAGGCTCTCAACGACGCCTTGGCATCGTACCAAGACCTCATGAACGCCTCCTCTCCTTCCACCACCACCACCACCCCCACCGACGCCCTCACTGGTATCGTGACCGATGCCATCACCGACGCCGACGTCGACGCAACCAAGCGCAAAATCAAGATGCTCGGCGACGACATGCTCTCGGGCATTCAGCAGATGCAAAAGCAGCGGAGATGGCGGAGCAGGAGAACAGGAAGATGAAGAAGACGATGAAGAAGGTGCTGCGTCAAAGGGGCGGCATGGGCATGTTGTTTGCCAACAAGACGGAGAGTGCGGCGACGAGCAAGACGGTTATGGAGAAGATGGGTAAGGCGGTGTTGGAGAGGTATGTTAACATGGTTGGGGGGAACTAGATCTCTTGATCACTTAATTTTGGCCATATTGGCAAGTGGAATGCCCCTGGATGGGAAAATGGGGGAGGACTGGGGTGGTAATTTGAATACAATGCTGGGGAAAAAGTGATGTTGGATGTCGTAATGAAGCTTGATTTTGTTAGATACTAGAAAAGAAACCATCATGAACCTTTTTGGCGCCGCACTTCTGAATAAATTTCCAAGTGCTTTAGTTGTGTTGATACGCAGCCTTTAAGTATATTCAAATTCATAAGGCTTCTACCATTCTAACAGCATCGCGAAAGAAACCAACGCGCCTTTTCTTTCTCGTACATACGCTTTTTTCACCTTACAACGTATACAGTAAAAGAAGCTTGGTATAAGTCAGGCCTGAAGTACTCCGTAGATTTAACCAAAATTCACAATGGATTTATCAGGCCCGCAAAGCGTCCACGACCCGGTGGGTCCACCTCGTTTAAAGTTGGGATTACCTTACCCCGCCGGCCAGCAGCGGTCCCCCACTCCCCCCCAAAACGCTAAAATAGCGGAAAACAACGGCAGATCGACGGAGGAAGGGCCGCTCGCTTGTTTGGCTTGTCCCTCGAGGTTCTCATTATTCTTACGCTTGGTCTTGGTGACAGTAACATGGCGTTTCAATTACAGGCGCATTTAATAGACTCAGCCTAGTTGTTATCCCGTAAGTTTCTTTCAAGCTTCGTTCCGATATTAATGGGGTTGAACATGTTGAAGATGACAGAGCTTCTGGAATCATTCCGCTCCCCACCCCCCATCCCATCACCGTGACTTATAAGGTGTACAAATCCTTGTCGAACGAACCATCAACCAGTCGATACCTTATCATTAGGTAACCTCCCGTCACTCACCTGCTGTTAAAGGTACGAGTTTGCAAGGCTTCACCGTCAGCTCTGCACGCTCTGCACGCTCTGCTGTGAACCCCCTTGCTTTATCTACTTGCTCCCGTTGGTCAATTCCATTGAAAGACATGTCACCTGAACAAAGGTCTTAAGCCGAAGTTGCACCGTCCCCTTGTCACCATGACTTCTCACGTGCTCTCACCGATCAAATAAATACCTTTTGGCGCCCTTTTTCGTTTTTGTTGTGGGTGTTACTGTTACAACATCACAAGAAAAGTCCGGTCTTCGGAGTTCACCCTTTCAACCTACCTTGACCCTTGTCCCATATTGAGTAGCGCATGTCTCGGTAGACTTGAGCCGAACCTCCCCCAAGTCCCCCTCACATACCCCGCTCCTATCTTGGGATTAAAACCATCCCATCGCATCACCACTTGCACTTACCTTGCCTCGGCATTATCATCATCATCCGGACTTACCAAGTCAAGCAACTTAAAGACCACCACCTCTTCAGCCTCAACCACCTCCTCAACTACCCTTCCCGTCACCCTCACCCAACACAGCAAGCAAGACAACTGACCACCACCACCAACACCAACATGTCCTCCCAACCCCCACCCCTCACCCAACCAACCACCACCACCTCCTCGCCCGACATGTACACCACCTCCTCGGCCTTCTTCGAAGCCCTCTTCTCCGCCGGCGTGTCCCACGTCTTCGTCAACCTGGGTTCCGACCACCCGTCCATCATCGAAGCCATGGTGCGCGGCAAGAACGACCCAGCCAACTTCCCGCGCATCATCACCTGCCCCAACGAAATGGTAGCCATGTCCATGGCGGACGGGTACGCGCGCTTGACAGGTCAACCACAGGCTGTGATTGTGCACGTGGACGTGGGCACGCAGGGGTTGGGTGCTGCTGTTCACAATTCCAGTGCTGGTAGAGCGCCGGTGCTGGTGTTTGCGGGGATTTCGCCAATTACGATTGAGGGAGAGCTGAGAGGGTCCAGGACCGAGTATATCCATTGGATTCAGGACGTGCCGGATCAGAAGCAGATTGTGGGGCAGTATTGTCGGTATGCGGCGGAGCTGAAGACGGGGGTGAATGTCAAGCAGATGGTGAATAGGGCGTTGCAGTTTGCTAAGAGTCAGCCGCAGGGTCCGGTGTACCTGTGTGGAAGTAGGGAGGTGATGGAGATGGAGATCCCCAAGTATGAACTGAACCAGGCACACTGGAAGCCGGTTGAGCTGGGGGCTTTGTCTAAGGGGGCGGTGCAGGAGATGGCGGGTGCGTTGGCCGGTGCTAAGAAGCCGCTTGTGGTTACCGGGTATGCGGGCAGGAACCACGCTATCCCGCAGGCACTGGTGGAGTTGGCCAACACGGTCAAGGGATTGAGGGTGTTGGATACCGGCGGCAGTGATATGTGTTTCCCCGCCGATCATCCGGGCTGGTTGGGGTTGAGGTTTGGCAACGATCAGTCCGTGGCGGAGGCGGATGTCATTCTTGTGTTGGACTGTGATGTGCCGTGGATCCCGACACAGATCAAGCCGAACAAGGAGGCCAGGATCTTCCATGTGGACGTCGATCCCCTGAAGCAGGTCATGCCCGTGTTCTACCTAGAGGCGGAGGCGAGGTATAGAGCTGATCCGTTGACAGCTGTGGAGCAGTTGACGGAGAAGCTGAAGACTGACCAAGAGCTGAAGAAGCAGCTGGAGGGCGAAGAGCGCGAGAAGAGGTGGAAGGAGCTCCAGGCCCAACACAGGCAGAAGCTGGAGGAGATTGCCGAGAGAGCAAAGCCTCTGGAGAACGGAGAGTATGGCACTGGTCACCTGTGCAGGAGGTTGAGGGCTTTGTGCCCCGAGGATACCGTATGGGCTATTGAGGCTGTTACCAACACGCTGTTTGTGCACGATAACCTCCAGCCTACGCTGCCTGGGTCGTGGATCAACTGCGGTGGTGGTGGTCTTGGTTGGTCTGGCGGTGGTGCCCTGGGTATCAAGCTGGCTACTGAGGTCGAGGCCAAGGCCAAGGGAGGGAAGGGCAAGTTCGTGGTGCAGATTGTTGGCGATGGGACCTTCCTGTTCTCGGTGCCGGGAAGTGTGTACTGGATCTCCAAGAGATACGGCATTCCCGTGTTGACCATTGTTTTGAACAACAAGGGTATGTCACCTCCGTTTTCTCCGTTTATCCACATGTTGAAACTAACGCATCGCAGGATGGAACGCCCCTCGTCGGTCTCTGCTCCTGGTCCACCCCGACGGACTCGGGTCCAAGGCTTCCAACGAAGACATCAATATCGAGTTCAACCCATCGCCTGATTATGCGGGTATCGCCAAGGCGGCTGCGGGTGGTGATTTGTTTGCGGCTAGGGTTGACAACACGGCGGATCTGGATCGGGTGTTGAAGGAGGCCATTGCCGCGGTGGAGGGGGGACAGAGTGCCGTGGTGGACTGCAAGGTGGTCATGGGATCTTAGTTTGTTTTGGACGAGCTTCAAAATCGTATCCACGTGTTTCTCAGAGCCCGGAGCGTGTGGTTGATGGTGGATTGGATCTGTTGTACGAGAAGCGACGTCGTCGTCCGTCTCTTGGCACCGGCGATTCGTCGAATCTCTGGAGAGTTTTCGTTCGGTGGCATGTTTGGTGACATAGTCTGGTTGCACCAGTGTTTAGCACCGGTGGTTAGCTATTGATGTTAGCGGCTTCGAGCGGTGTCGGAATACTTTGCGAGTAAAGTCCAGACAGCTGTTCAAGTGGCGCCTCTTGTGATTATAACCGTACGTCGCCATGTTGATGTGTTCGAAACGAGGATGCTGTGGTTGCGGTCCGAAGGTAACACTGCGCCAAAGGGTTGTCGTGATGCTACTGTACCTCTTTGCATGTCCATGATCCATCCAGCTGTTCGTCCCGTGTATCGTGCGTGGTGCTCTCCGGAACCAACACTCGAGCGAAGTTCAACCCCGTCTGAACACTGACATGTGCCATGACACATGCTCCCTTCTTTTTCGGTTTATTTCTGCATATATCCTTCATGTTGTGCTTCTTCGTCAAAATAGCTGCGCATCCGTCGTCAACTGCTTTTGCCGTTCATCGTTGTCTTGATCGGACCACCTCTTGATTGCTGGCGCCACGGCCATCCTTGTTGCCCCTCCTTTCCTTTTTGCCCGCGTTTCTCGACACCGACGGATCAGGGGTTTCAACCGGCCGCGGATGCTCGATAATATTCGCCACCGTCTGCGCTGATCAGTGGTCCCCCAGAGGTCGCAAAGGGTCTCGAACACGGAGGAGGGAAGAGACAAGGCGGGATGACGGTATGTAGTGAGTGTTGATCGTCCTTGGCTTGGGTTGTCTGGAGGGAAGAATTCCGAGAAATCATTTGGCAATTGGAGAAATTTGAAAGTCATTCTGCGCTGCGGAAGAGTTTGCGCACGGACCCTTTGACATGCAGCGGGGGACGAACGGACCTGCAACACAAAAAGAAAGAACGGGCAGCCGAGGAAGACATCAGTGACAATGCGCTAACAAGGAATTGAAGAAGAATTAAGTCATCCCATCCTCTTCCTCTTCCGTCTCCAACTTTCCCCGCGCTCATCCTACACGAGACCACGAGACCAAAGCGCCGTCCGATCTTTCTCCATCGATCCCCCTCTTTATTTCATCCAGTTCCAGTCTCCTCAACTGAACCGAACTGCCGCCGTCGCTGAAGATCACCGTGTTTTGGTCGACACAAGCCCTCGGTATTCCCAACTCCGATTTGCCGTCTTCCGGATCTCGGCGAACGACTATCAACGGTCGGTTCTCAGTCTTTTTGCTCGACCATCTTTAGTTCTTCAAGAGGACCGGAAGCCCCCGAATCTCGAACGAGTCGCCTCCTCCGCTGGAGACATCCGCAGACCACTGGAACCACTGGAGACAGTTGCTGGAGTTGACCTCTGACAAGGACTCCTCTCGGCACGCGCTAGCGGTTCAACGACTCCATCCGGTGTCGGGTCCATCCCCTGGCGACGCTAGCACCCGACGATACACTCCACTACCACCTGAGATAGCTGCGATAGCGCCAAATACCTGGGAACTGCGGCGAACTACAGGCGAGACCCTGACAAGGAAGCCAGAAACAGGCCAGACAAGAGATGGTCCGTTGAGTCCTCCTTGGATTCAAGGAAGAGACGGCATATAAGGAAGGAAACACGAGATAATGAGATTGCGTGTCGTACGCCGCCGCAGGATACACAACTTGTCCTTCTTTCGACACCCACCGTGGCCGAGCTGAGTACCGAGGGTGGCTCCGAGGCTGGGCTGTTTACCGATTTACACGAGCGACTTTCGGACGACCGACGGGGACTTCTCCGAACTGCGACAACTGCTGAACAGCTGAGTGCACGAGCGCAATTTCCTTGTTCGACCGACTCCAGTTCTTTTTTCAACACCACGACCGACTTCGACTACCTACAAACCTACGACGACCTACGAAATCTTCACCTCGACAACGTCAACTTGACGATACCCTCCGTCGTCCTTTGTCTCTTCGAATATCAATATACTTCCGTCTACTCATTGTCACGCGACCAACCCCAGTGTCGCCTTTGCCCGTCGCTTTCGCCGCGCGCAACATATTCAGAGCTCCTTTTTGCTACCCTCGACATCATTACCCTTTCGACGATACCTAAGCGAACGCAATCGCATTCCATATTCAGCATGTCACCGCATCCCGAACACAGTGCTCCGGCATCTGCCGACCCTCCGGCTGCCGACGCCGAACAAAAGTCCGACTCGAGCGCCCCGGCTTCTCCTCCTCCCGCTCCCGTCCCCTCAGCCGACCCAAGGCTCTTCCGACAAATAACACAACAACATACGGGCGGCTCCGAAGAAGACGTTGACGACATCTACAAAGTCTCCCCCCTAGCCGCCCTCAAGCTCCTCAGCGCCGGCATCGAGACCCTCGTTTCCCTGACAGGCGACATCCCGCCCACTCCGCCGCCACGATCCCCAACCCTGCCTCACATGCGCGGTATGGAAGCCGAGAAACAAAGCATCGTACGGTCCAATTCCGAGAAGAACCTCGCCAGGCTTTTGCAGCAAAAGAGCGCGAGCAATTCCCCACGGAGACCGTTCAGCCCGGCGCCGCAAAGGCATCCCCACCCACCTCCTTCGAGAGAGGGACACAAGAAATCCGAATCAATAGACGGCGTCCACATCCGCACCTCTAACCCAACCCCACCGCCCAGTTTCTCGTCAGACGACCCAAAGCCGACCCTCGAACCCTACATCATCGTCGGCGAAAACTCGCAACCGCTCAACACCCAGCACTCGGCCATAACCCGCAAGTTCTACTCGCGCCTGCCTCCCCCGATCTCCATCACCGACTACCTCCTGCGCATCCACCAATACTGCCCCATGTCCACGGCCGTCTACCTCGCCGCGTCTCTGTACATCCACCGCCTGGCCATCATCGAGCGCGCCATCGTCGTCACCAAGCGCAATGCCCATCGCCTACTTCTGGCAGGCATCAGAGTGGCCATGAAGGCTTTGGAAGATCTGAGCTATCCCCATACCAAGTTCGCAAAGGTCGGCGGAGTCAGCGAGACGGAGCTGGCGAGGCTGGAGATCAGCTTCTGCTTCTTGGTCGGGTTCGAACTGAGGGTGGACGAGGAGGCGTTGAGGGGGCAATGGGAAATGCTGAAATCCGGTGTCGAGGCATGGGAGGGCGTTGAGCATGACCTTTATGGAAAACGAGACGTCATTACGTTGAGGAATCCGCCGCCGGGGAGGGAGGGGAGACAGGCAGAAGCGGCTGCAGAGGCGTGAGATGCTGATATTGACTGTTGGTGTGTCTGGGATTCGAATAATGATGCCTAATTTTCCCCTTCAACTTTGTTGTTTCTGTCCTTGCTCTTTGTTGGCAGCATATCTTGAGCATGGTCTGCCTTTCCCTGGAGTGATACCCTATAATCATAAATACCAAGTATCATTTCTTCTTCCGAGTTCCCCTTACCTCTACATGAACACCATATTTCTGCACCTGCTCATATCACTGGCGATTATAGTTCTGTCTAGACCTAGAGGTAGCTTCCATGGTCTGGGTGATACAGGGCAGCCCTAACCCCGAGAGGAAGGATGTTTGTTATCTTATCGTAAATTGTTCGCTTATTGCCGGCATCTTGCGGTTTGTCGTCTGACAAACAACTTCAACTTTACAACCTCCCATTCTTGATCAATACATCTGGCGAATCACTTGAATTCATCTCTTTTGCATCTACTTCTGCTTACCTCTGATAGCGAGGGCATAGAGAGGTTTGATGTACCAAAAGGTTATACAGACAGATTGGATCAACTCCAATTCCTTTGGACCATCCATCCATCCATATCCGTCATCGTCATCCAGCCCAGTCAAGAATCCATCACGCCCGAACACCCAAAGAAATCGTTCCATCATAACATCGTATCATGAATTTGTCTTCATCCTCCCCAGACTCCAGCTGGAACAAAAGGTCATGAGAGTCAGAGACCCGTGAGACCTGAGTAGATCTACTCAGTCAACCCCATCTGCTCATCGCTCGGCTCCCGGTACGTGCCCGCCGGCTTGGTGGCGTGTCTCGTCTTCTCGTCAATGATGTTGGATTTATCAATGGCTTCGACTTCGTCCTTGGCTTTTGGGTGTCACATCTCCATTAGCATGACTTGTCCAAGATTGCATATCTTAGGGCAGCGAGGAGGAAAAAGTCCACCACACCCAAGCTCCAGGTCATGCTCAGATAAGGAAGATGGAACATATTACGTACCCAGCTGATCATCACTATCCGCCTCCTCCGGGCGCACCGGATCCTCAACGGGCGCATCATCGTCAATGACGGGAACGGCTTCAGTGCCCTTGGTCTTATACGAGGGGTCGTTGACCTGGCCGTCCGGAGCGTCGCGGGGAAGGTCGGCGCCGGGCTTGTCGTCGTCGTAGGCGTGGGCTACTTTGGACATTTTTGGTGGTTGGTGGGTGGTAAGAGCTTGGGGTTGGTTTGATTTGGGTTTGGTTGAGCAAGCGGCTGGGAGGTGAGCTTGGGAGACTTACTTGATATCCTATTGAAGATCCCAAAGACATTCCAGGGACGAGGGTTTATATATCCCCTTCCCTTTACTGTTTTACATCGCGGGCTGTTCCGTTCCATTTTGTTGAGCCTCAAAGACTCACCAAGATGGATGACGAAACGATTACACTCCGATCATGGAGGAGCAAGCCACAAGCAAACAATCACCCAACGAACCTCAACCTCTTTCATCCCTTCTTTCCCCTTCAAAACATCACCATCCCAAGTCGTGACATCGTCCCTTTTCCCCCAGATGGGAATCTGTTTCTTATATTGGGGGAATCACATCTTATTGGCGATCGATATTCGGTGTTCTGTTTGTTCTTTGAGCCCCGCGCGGATCGACCCGAACCCACTTGTGCCACTTACACGCCGATTCATGCCAAACAAAGGCAGGAACCCTTCCTTTGCGGGTGCATTGCAATGTCATCCCTTCGTGTAGATGTCAAACTTACACACCGGCAGCAATTGAAACGATTCGGGACTTTCTCAGTTTCGTATATCGTTGGTCGATATCCAAATGGAAGGGACGAGTTAGGGTTCTGCGGGGATGAAAAGTGACTGGATGCAAAGTGCCGCTGGATAACGTCACGATTTGGGCTGGTGACAGCATCGTCGATAGACGGGAGCGAACAAACAACATCAGATTGAAGGGACGCGGGGAGAGAACCCTCCGGTTTGTTTCATCGCAGGTCAGGTAAGATGATGGAAAGTGGAAGGTCGTGGAATAGCAAACTTGTGGAAGGAAGCTATATCAGGGGCTTCTGTTCCAGCTTGGAGACTTTCCTTACAACAACAAAAACAACTGCATCCCATCAGCCATTCTCTCACCTATCCTCCCAAAGAAAGAAGCCCCCGAAGAAGCTCACAGAAGGTCGATTCGAGACATCACTCACAAAGAACCTCTCCCAAGCAACGCAGAAGCAAAAGACCGCCAACATGGTCGACTACGGCGCCACCAACTCCTCTGACGTCCCTCCCGAGGTTCCTCACAGCGAGGAGTCGACCAAGGACCCCGAGAACTCTATGCTAACTTCCTCCTCGAAAACGCCGACGAGCCCTACGACCAGTCTTCTTCGGACAACAAGAAGACCACGGACCAGGGCGAGAAGGATCCGGGAAATGTGGCGAGAGGATTGAAGGCTGCTATTAGCAACCCTGGTGTGTCTGAGGAGGCGAAGAAGAACGCGAAGAAGAAGCTGGAGGGGTTGCAGTAAGGTAGGACTCAACGGAAGGACGGCTAGACAAAGATGTGGTTTGGGCTTGTCACCTTTGACAGATCGGCCTGGACAACGTGGATGCTGGATGCGTGGATGGTACGTGGCTTACGAGATGGGCGAGTCTGAGCATATCAGGCCGTCATGATGGAACGATGAAATGATGACATGAATTCAATCAACAGGATTCCCATGCCATGCTTTGTTTTCAAGTCGTGAAGTTCGTCATGTGTTGCTTTTTGTTGATCCGTCTGCGACCCTCCCTGTGCGGTACCTCCAGCCCCGTCACTCCTCCTACTCCGACACCCTAACAACAACCTTCCCCTTCGCCCTCCCACTTCCCAACCTCTCATACGCCTTCACCAACTCCTCCATCTCCCATACCCCATCCACCACTCCCCTCTCAATGACCCCCTCCTCCACCAACATCCCCACCTCCCTCACCGTCTTCTTTCCGGGGATCAACAACAACAATTCAAACGCCCTCGGCGTCCCGCCCAACCACACCGGCCTTAACTTATTCCTAATATACGGAACAACACCCTGCGACGCTCCCCCGACGATACTAATAAACTTTCCCTCGGTCTTCAAATACCCCGGCGACTTGGTAAACATCTCCTGACTTCCTGCGCAGTCAAACACAAAATCCAGCTTCTCCTCCCCAAACAGACGCCCCAAATGCTCCGTGACGGGGTTGTGTGTCTTGTAATTAACCACCTTCCCCCCACACCTCGTCACCAACTCCTCGCCCTCAGCAGAACCGGTAGTCCCCCATACTTCCGCCCCCTTTCCCTTGAGGATCTGCGTAAGGATATTCCCCACCCCTCCACTGGCGCCGTTAACCAGGCACTTCTTCCCCTTCCAGTCAGCTGCCGACGAGACGCCAGCGGTCTGGGTCATGAGAACAGCCGTTTGCCCAGCGATGCCAAACAGACCGACGGCTTCTTGTCCTGTGACTTCTTTCCCTCCCGCCCCCCACGTCTTCGGCTTTTTGGCTACTAGGGAGGAGGAGACGAGGAGGTACTCAGCTAGCGAGCCCTTGCCCCAGAAGACGTCGGCGGCGCCTAGTGCGCCACTGACTACATCGCCCACCGTAAACTCATTGGCGTCGACGCCAGGTCCGGCAGATACCACCCGCCCGCAGAAATCGAATCCAGGCGTTGGGTTCCGACGGAAGGGAAGCCAGTGGGGAAATAAGCGGAGGATGTGTAGGTCGACGGGGTTGAGGGATGCGTGGGCGATTTTGAGGAGGAGGTTGTTCCCTGTGATTGTTGGTGGGGTGGTTGCGGAGGGGGAAGTGGAGGAGGCAGCGCCGGCGCTGGGAAGGGGGTGAGAGGGGGAGAGGGTTAGGCCGGCGGAGTTTAGTGTCCAGGCGCGCATTTTGGGTGGGAGATCTGATGTTGGTGAGGGGGAGGTCATAGTTTTGATCTAGGTCGAGGGTTGGGTGGTGATGATGGTTGTGATGTGGATTTTGTGGTGGTCTTAATGGCGTTGGTGTTGGTTAAGGTGATGTTGGATGAACTGGGGAAAGATCCAAATTCAGGGGTTCAATTGGCGGCTTGGCGCTGTTAGCGGGAGGCGAATGAATCGGGTACCCCAAGTGGTGATGGTCAGGCTGGATGAAGTTGGTATTGCGGGAAAACGGTGATAAATAATGTCTCCCCGTATCACGGGGCAGGTGCACATTGACTACCTCCGAAAAACTACTAAAAGGTAGAACGTAGTTCTGCTTGCTAATAGAATTCGGATGTGTACACTATATAGCCAAAGCCACAAGGCCAAACCCTGTGACACCCCGAAAGAAAAGAAGAGAAGTGTTTAAGGACGAAATGTAGTTTTATAATGTCGTTGGCACCGGAAAGAAATATGAAACGTTGAAAGCTCCTGTGTGAAACGCGACAGTTGTTGGGTCGGTGCCAGGCTGGGAGCTTGGGCCACCCGGGCCCAGCTTTCCACCGACAGCCCGCAGACCTCCCGGGCCCGGGCTGCTGGGACCATATAAGAGCGTGTTCGGCTAAGGTTCGATCGATACGGAAATAATGGCATTTTTTCCATACCTGACCGCTTACAAATCTTACTGCACTTTCAGGGACCGTGCACCAGTCCGTACACCAGATCTAGATTTTCACAGTATAGCAATTTACTCTAATTAGTCTTTTATAGTACAACTTCCTAAAATCACTACCTTTTTTAATAACAATTCGCTTATTAAAATCGCCTTCTTGCAATACCTCCCGTACGTCAAGCTTAAAATCAAACCGTTTATCAAGAGTTTACCTTCGTAATAGAGGCAGGCTATATCAACCAAATTGCTAATTGCCGTCACTACGCTTACTACGCCGCTTCGAATATCACCCGCCTACGCTAATACCTTTAAAAGTATAAGGGGTATACTATATAACGCGTTTAATAATAAATTCAATATTATAATAATATCCGCTAATATACTATTAAAATAGAGCAAAAACACACTACCACAGAAAAGCATAGCCTACCCAAAACCTTAGAATAAGGTACTAATCTAAAAGTTAGGAATGATTTCGCGAGGATATTAAAATAAAACCTCTAAACTATAGCTATTAACTACTAAAGGAGGGAGGGGGAAATAGAACTTCACCCCTAAATTAATTGCTTTGGAGAAAGGAGTAAATCCGGAGGTTAGTTTCTTAGGGAGGGAATTACGAGTAAATTTAATAGTTAAATCTTTTTAGCAGCGAAATTTGAATATATTCTATTAATCGAAGTAATCTCTAGTTTAAATTACCCTCCTCTTTTTTCTCTCTTTTTAAGGAGGAGTACTACCCTTTTTATTTTTAGAGATTTCTATAATTACCTACCTTCGGAGTTCGGGAAAGACAGTCTAATAAATCTACTCCTCCCTATCTGAATTATTCTACTTTTAATAAACTTTTTAGTCTATACTAAAAAAAGTTAGAAAAAACTCCCCAAGTTAAACTTCCTTTTAAATTTACGTATAAGTCCTCCTAATAAATTTATTAAAAATTAAAACGTTAATTGTAAAAAAGTATCATAAAGAAAAATAATACAACCCCCTTTTTACTATTATATCCGGAAATTTACTCTTTAATTTCCGTTTTTGCTTTACTCTATTTTCTTAATCCGTCTTTCTTATTACTTTACCTTTCTCTTATCAGCCTTCTTCTTTAAAACCCACCCACCTCTTTTTCTCTTTATTAATCATATACCAATCCGTTACTATAGTATTTCTAATGAATATTAGGTTGATTTAATAAAGTAGTAATATATTTTAGTAAATTAAGTCTCTAAAGGAAGGGGAAGATTTAAGTTCTATATTTATAACCCTTATCCCTTTAAAAATAGTTTTACTTTTTAGGAATTCCGTATTTACTATAATTTTAATAAATAAATAGAAATTATTAATTATTAACTGATCTTTTATATTATATTTAACCCTTATTTCTAACCGCTTCCGAGAAACCTTTTTCTCGTTCTTTATTAGAAGGCAATTAAAACTTCCTTCATTTTCGGAGGTATTAGAAGAATTACTAATTTAATACCTTCGAAGTATAAATTAAATATTCCGTCATTAATTAGGGCGGGTTAGAAGTTTTGGCCGGGTAAGTTAGTAATTTCTTTCGCCTTTTCATTTTTCTTCTTTATTTATTATTGAATCCGAAAATTTAATTAAATTAAAATAGGAAATTATATAAGCAATCGGTATTGCGCTATTCTTTAGAATTAATTTACCAATTTATTTTATTATATTTATTTAGGTATTTCAACTTTTTAATGTAAATAGGAATTTTATTAATCGGTTATCAATTATTAAATTGAATATAGTAGTAGATTAATTCCTTTTTAATTTTCGATATCGTTATACTTTTTTATTAGGTAATTAATATAATATTATAGGCTATTTCTATTTACTATTTAATTATTATTTTTTCTAACTAAATTGGGTCGTTAATTTAAATCTATTATTTTTAGTATATCTTATTCTCTTAACATATAGGTACTTAGGAGGGGGCTTTTAACCTATCGATTAGTAGGTTTTTATAGGAGGTTTCGATAAAAAATATCTCAATAACTTTTATTATTTAGAGACTATATATTTAAATTAAATATTATTCGGGGAATAATATATTTATTTCAAAAGCTTTATTATTTATATTATTAATCTGCTCCCCGTTACTATCTTTATATATATAATTTCTAATAAAATATTCCGTATAGGTTTTTCTTATCGCGAAGTCCTTATTTTAGTCGGTATCTAGGGTTAAATTGAAATAGAATTATCTAAATTTTCCTTAATTAAAAATAGCGAGGACGAAATAGTATTAGTAGTAAATTAGAAGGTATTACTACTAAATTTTTCCTAATTAGTATTTGTATATTGATTTGATATTAAGTAATTCATTATTATTATTAATATATACATCGTTAAGGGGGAAGTAAATATAGTTTCTAAATTAGCGAAATATTTAAATTACTTTAATTATAATTAAATTTCTTTCTAATTAATTAAAAATATTATAAGAATATTATATATTAATAAAGTTTAAAATAACGGTCTCCCAAGATATAGCGTTATAAATCGTTTTGTTAAGTTAATATAGAGGTAGGAACGGAAGATCTTTTCCAATTATAATTTCTATAGTTTTTTAATTAGTTCAATTTATATTATTATTAAACGGAGCGGATTTATCCCTATCGATAATATTAGTTTTTAGGTCTAACCGAACGAATTTCTAATCTATTATTTTATCGAAGGGTTTTAGTTAATTATAATAGTGTAAGTAGATCCTTTTGAATTCCATTTTAATATTAAATTATTCCATTATATATTTATTCTATACTATTAAATTATTATAAATATTCCGGATAATATTTAAAAGGAAGTTAATAATAATGATAGGAGAGAGGAATGGATTAGAAGGTACGTTTATAATAGGTTAATTTAGTCCTAATACGAGAATCGAAAAGATTCTAATAGGAGAAGAATTTACTTTCGAGGGTTATTATAATAATAATAATAGGGAAGGAAGAGTAGTAAGAAGGGAAAGAATGTAGGGGGGTAGTTTTTTTTTATAAACGTTCGGTAGATTATTTATATTAACCGTTCTTTTCCAAATTTTTATTTTTCATAACCTAAATAAATTCCTTCATATAAGTCTTTCTTTGAATTATTTATTTTTTAATTATTTTATTTTAAGAGGGGGTAAAAGAGCCGAAAACTTTCTTCGAAAAAATTAGGGTAAATAAATATTTAAGTATAAATTAAACCTATTATTTCTTAATTAGGTACTTTTTAGGTATAATTTGAATAAAAGGGGTACTTTCTATCTCTTTTTTTAATTTCATTTAATATTTGGCTACAGTCTAAATTATTAATTATTTAGAAGAGGTAGCGTATAAGTTAATTTGGATTCTTTTATTTAACTTTCTTACTATTTAATATAACTACCTTCCTTCTTTTTTAATAAGAAAAATTCGTTTCTTAGCTTAGGGATAATTTATAGTTACTTAATTAAATATAAATACTTTTTTGTAGGCAATATTTACTAAAAGTAATTTTTATTTAAATTTCCTCCTTCGTACCTTCTTATAATTGGGCTTTTATTTCTTTTATTTTTTAGAGAAGGAAGTACTAAATTCCTAATATACTTTTTAGCTTCCAATTTCCTTCTTCCTTTATTACCTATTTTAAGCTCCGCTAGGCCAGCTCTTAAATCTTCTTTTCGGAGGCCTTCTTATTAAGTATAAGAAAAGCTTTCCCCCTTTTTGTTTCTTTAATGTTTCTCAGTGCTTAAGTAATTTTTCCTTTACGACGCTTCGTTTTTATTTAATAGATCTGTACTATATTTAATTAACTCATTAATCCAAATTTACTCCCTACGCAAAATAATTTAATTTCGGAGGTAATCCAATATAAGCTCCTTTTTAAATTCTAAGGTATACTTCTTTACCCTATATTCTCTAATATTCGCGAAATTAATCATATTATTTAAAAACGCTTCGTTATTCCCAAAAATAATCTTACTACTCTAATTTCTTATTCCTTGCTAAGGATTAGTAATAATTTTCATTATACTAATAAATACCTTAATAGTAGGAAATAATTCCTTTCTAAAATATATATTAATTTATTTAGTAGCCGCCCTATTTTTACCGATAGTTTATAAGGCGTTTCTTTCTATCCGGCCTACTAATCTTTTATTTAATTGGTACGGATCTATATTATTATTTATCCTTCCCTTATTAGCAAGTTATATTTTGAGTGGATTCTCCCCAGCGTAAATAATTTTTAAAGATATAATTAAACTTTATAATGATTTTAATTTTGCGGAGGAGTATTTTAAAATAGTCGAAAAGTTCGTTTTCAACTCTAAATATAAAAG